GTGTGTGTGTGTGTGTGTGATATTCCCACAGCTCCTGGCTGTGTTCACTGAAACCCAATCATCGTGTGAGAGAGACCAGACACACACACACACACACTAGCCTTTTTCTGACATGTCATACGTAATGTTTCTGGCCAAAGCATCTTCCCGGCATGGCAGCATGGGATTGGTGGATGCAGGTCCAGTGGGTCAGAACCTCATTTTAAAGTGAAGATTGAATCTGGTGTAAAAATCAATAAAACAAAAGCAAAGTGACATCACATACACAAAACACAGTTCAGACTCACAGACAAGAACTTGAAGTAATGATTTGGTGAGGACGTTTGGCCCTCTCTGCTTCATGTCCGTCAGCTGACTGTGGGTGTTTCGTGCTCAGCTCTCCTAGCATTTATGTCAAGCTGAGGTCCAACATCTTACTGTGTCTTGAGATACAACTCACCCCTCTTTACTGCACGATGGTAACCGCTGATATCTGTGCATCAGTCTCTTTCATCCTGCACAAATCCAGCCAACACTTCCAAGTTCGTGTCGTTTTTCCTACTGACCACATTCAGCTTCCTGACCATCTCTCCAACGTCCTTCTAGGATGGAGTGTTAGAGTTAAATGGAGTGTTAAAGAAAATATTATTATTGCTTTGAGGGGAAAAAAGGGATATTTGGACCAAAATATTTGATGTATCTCTAATTCCATCACACCACAGAGACCAAAGCTCAAGCTGCAGGTTTTCACTGTTAAGACGTGCCTGAGGACGCTTGGTCACCACCTTCACTGACCTCCTGCCTCCAGTGGGCTGAAGCTGAATGTACCCAAAACCTTCATGATGCCTTTCAGCCTCCTGCTCTATCAGCCTCTTGCTAAAGTGCTCTGAGCAGTCAGTAAGACGAGAAAAGTACTTTATAAACTCTTTTTTAAGTATTTTATACTATGGAATAAAGCATCAGTGGGGGTGAGCTGCTGGAAATAAAAGGACCTCAGAGCTTCAGAGGACCTCAGGTTTGCGGTGCAGCAGTCACTCTCAGACCTGCTGCCTGATATAATCGTTGTTTTCTGACGGCCTCGTTCCCATACACGCATGCATGCGCACGCTCGTGTACGTGCGTACTCCCTCCGAACCAGACGTACCTCACAGTGTGTGTGTGTGTGTGTGTGTGTGTGTGTGTGTGTGTGTGTGTGATTCCCAGGCTTCGTGGGAAAGCTCCAGCGGCAGAGGAGGAGGAGGAGAAGCAGGAGAAGGAGGAGAAGGACTCACCGGTCAACAGTCCAGTCTGCAGCCGACACCCAGGCCACCTGTCCCGGACTTCTGGCCGGACACGCACCGCTGAGAGAAACCGGAACCCTGTGAAACTAACGTGACTTTTATTGGGAGAAAACGTTTTTTGTCTCAGGAACCTGACCCCGTGGATTAACCGCACACGCTCTTAGGGCACATTAACACCAGATCATCAGGACCCACCGGGTTTCGATCATTCATTCACTCCTGTCTGATCTCCGGTCAGCAAATTCGCAGGAATAAAAGAAGTCTTTGAAACCTTCGTGTCTCCTCCCGGGACAGACGGACACATTTCCCCGCCAACAACGCGCTATGAAGCGGCCGTGCGAGGACAGCAGCTCCGCGGAGAGCGAGGTAGAGGAGACCATCGACGTGGGCAGCGAGAACATTTATCCGGGGTGAGATTTCACACACGTTTCTCTTTTTCTTATGACAGAAATGAAAACATTGCAATTCGTTTAGCTTATGTCTTTATATTTCACACCGTTTCAACCTAAGTGTTGACGTTCACGGAGCTCTTTATTACTGATGTGTCTAAACAAACATTAATCGCCCTAAAAATAAATGTGAGGAATTTTAGCGGTTCATAAAATATCACAAAAGATTATTGGCAAACCTTTCATTTCTAATCAGATTTTCCAGTGAATGAGACAAAAAAGGAACATAAATAAGACATGTAAATACAGTTTTAGGGACTTTGTGCTTCAAAAATGAGTCAAACAAAAAACGTTTGCTAATTCAGCAGATCTCCTAAAAACCGAGATGAGCACAAGCTTTTAATTATTCCTGAAAGAAAAGGCAAAGGAGAACAAACATGACGAAAACTGCACTCGTTTTTACTGAGTGACGTCACTAAACCTTAAAATCCGCTCAAAGCTGGAAAAAGTTCAAAACAATAAAATTTTACTTTCAGCTAATTTTCCCTCCAAATTACTTTTCATGGTTTGTTTGTTTTGGTTTTGTTCAGTTTTGTATTTCTGAATTTAAAAGTGAATTTAAAGGTTTATTCCACATATTCTACTATTTATATTTTACTTTATTCCTGCACAGCTGGAGTGGAGCACCCACAATTTCGTTGTAGTTGTATAATGTCAATAACGGGCTATTCTATTCTATTCTATGATCACTGTTGGTGAAATGCTCAAATAATTCAGTAAAATAAAGGTACTGCAGATTCTAAATACACCCTTATAAATACCTTTAAAGTGAACTAGTGCAGTCAAATGCATGCATTTAATAGATTATCTATCTGCTTTTAATACGATCAGTTTAGTTGAGCGGTTTCCAAGTTAAGGGTTATTCCCCATTCGAAGGATCGCCTGATAAACCTGAGGAGTAATTTGCAGAGTTTAAAGGAGCTGCTTTTTCACCGGAACAGTTCAAAGACCACTGTATAAAGAAATCACGGCATACATTTTATTAAATGTGTTACAAAATTGTTACAAGACTATTTCTGTAAAACTGAACAATCTTTGTCGTTATCTAAATTTAATTGTTGCAGTATTAATATCTTAAAGGTGGTGAAACGAACAAAGCATGAAATGGAAACAGTGAAGTTAAATACGTCAGACTTACACTCTAGTAAATGTCTTCTGTAAGAAGTAGATGCGGTGCTCGTTTATTATATGTTAATATAAAATTGGGCAGTTTAGTCTAATAAAATCTGCTATATTTTATCATGCAATTCAGCATGCAGTGTTATTAATATTCTACAGTAAGTGGGATGATCTGCAGAGGAGTGACTGGATGATGGGTAAGAGATAAGAAATGAAGACGAACACATGATGAAATATAGATAAATATAAAAAAATCTGTCACACAGATTTTTGCAGCGTTTACTCTTCTCTCTCTAACCTTCATCTCTCATAAATAAGCAGAAGAATAAACTTTGCAGTCCCGGTGTTCATGTTTATGTTGACACAGCGGTGCTCAAACTCTGGGGCGGGTCCCCCTGGTGGGGCACAGAGACACTGCAGGGATCTTTGTGCACCACCAGGAAAATTATGCAGAGAGACTGAGGTGATA